CTGCGGGACTCCTCAGAAGCCCTCGCGCCGTCTGGGGAGTCTTATGCGTCTTCCGGGAAGGCTGAGAAAACTTCTGATAAGGCCGCGGGGTTCCGAGCCTTCTGAGAAGGCCAGCCCCCTCATGTTCCCCCCTCGCTCGCCGCCGAGAGGTAGCAGTAGAGACCAGCTAGTGCACACTTACACTCAGAGTGGAGTGTCAGAAAGCCCCGTCGCATGGAGCGCTGCCATGCCATCATGCTTGGCACGAGACGCAAAGAAGCAATACGCATTCGGGTCACAGACGGATGGCAAACAGACAAAGCACGATGTCCGCTCGGGTCCAAGTAGAACCACTCGATCGACATCGCTCCTCAGGTAGTACCTGTTGCTGGCTCGCCACACGACCTCTCCTGAATCTCTCGCCATCGTCATCCTCATACCCCTTATCATCCTCATTACACTCGCTCTCCTTCTCCCCCTCAATCTCGTCCTCCTCCACTTCAGTCTCCTGAACAATTCCAAAGTGATCGTCCTCTTGATCTCGTTCCCTCCTCCTCCTCCTCTTCCTGCTCCTCCTCCTCCTCGTCCGCATGACTATCTCGGGCCTGCACAGAGCGCCGGCGCAATCAGCTGCCTGTTAGCCAGCGTTCATTGATTTGAGAGTTGAAAGGGGAGAGGAGCAGGGGACGCAACACGAATTAAGCTCCATGCAGCGACGCTTCACGGAGAAACGTTGCGCCTTTCAAAACGCATCGATGCACAGAAGAGGTGTTCACACGAATGACTCCGAAGTCCTAGTAAAAGTCCTTCGCCACAGCAGGCCTTTTTTAAATATCATTGCTAAAACCATGGCGCGCGCTTCGTGCGCGCTCAGGTTCTAGCCCAGGCCAGGGGTGGGCGCTGGAAGATCTTGGACAGCGCTATCAAACACAGGCACGTGACATAGTCGTACCCATCCTCACCCACCTCTCGATTTCGGACCTAATCCTCCTACTCCTCATCATCGTACTCCTCGTCATCATTTACAGTCATCATGATCATACTCGCGAACAACCTCATCAACCACATCGTGGAACACATCTTTAGCCCAAGGCTGTGACGAATGACAGTACGTCAAGCTCGGTATCATCATTATGGCCATCATCAGTATCATCCTCCTCTGTCTTATCATCATCATCATCATCATCATCATCATCATCATCATCATCATCATCATCATCATCATCATCATCATCATCATCATCATCATCATCATCATCATCATATCATCTTTATCAAATAACCATTGTCGTGTCGGTCATAGGCATCATCATCATCATCATCATCATCATCATCATGAATATATCAGCAATCATCACCACCTCATCATCAGCAGCAGCATCATCATCATCGTTATCATCATCGTCGTCGTCGTCATCAGCATCATCAGCAGCATCATCATCATCATCATCATCATCATCATCATCATCATCATGATCATCATCATCATCATCATAATCATCATCATCAGCATCATCATCAGCAGCATCATCATCATCGTTATCATCATCGTCGTCATCAGCATCATCATCATCATCATCAGCATCATCATCATCATCAGCATCAGCATCATCATCATCATCATCATCATCATCATCATCGTCATCATCATCATAGTCATCAGCATCAGCATCATCATCGACATCATCAGTCATCAGCATCAGCATCATCAGCAGCATACTCATCATCAGCAGCAGCATCATCATCACCATCATCATCAGCATCATCAGAATCAGCATCATCATCAGCAGCATCATCAGCATCATCATCATCACCATCATCACCATCATCACCATCATCATCATCAATGGTTTCGCCAAGATTTTCGCTGATGTGTTCCTTCACCTTCCGTTTTAACTACACTCCCCTCGCAAATAATAGCTTCGCTAAAAAACTCTCTACAATTCGGCCGCCCGAGCTGTAACTTCCTCCTCCTCTGCTAGAAATCCGTCTCTCCCAAACTCGCTTCGCTAAAACTAGGTCTCTTTAAACTAGTTCGCCCCTGGGATCTATCTTAAGCGAGGGGAGTGAAATGTGTTTTCCGTTGCGGGGGCCCGCCGATGTCTCAAAAGGCCCTCCTCTGAGCCACAGAGCTCGACCTGAACGGTGTTGCCACCTGGCGAATGTAGTAGAATATGTATGCTTTCCGCCCCGATGCGTTGCCACGCGGCGAGTGTAATAGAGTTGGGTGTATTTTCCCATCGGGCGTTGTCACGCGACGAGTAGAGTGGCATGGTATTTGTGTTCGCCTTCCCAGGCGTTGCTACGTTACGAGTAAGAATAGAATAAGAGTTTGTGATAAGCCGCTTCGTTGCCACGTGGCGAACGGAATGCACTAGTATTTGTTTCGCTCCCCAGGTGTTACCTCGTGAGGAGTAGAGTGAAATTGAAATTGTCTTGTTTCCGCCCCGATACGTTGCCACTTGACAAGTATAGTGAATTGGTACTTCTTCGGCCTAGCTACGTTGCCACGCGGCGATTGCATTCCCGCCCCGCTGCATTGCCACGTGGCGTATGAAATAGACTCCCTCACCCTCAACCTCATCCTCCTCCTCCCGCTCCTCCCGCTCCACCTCGCTCCTGCCCTCCCTCTCCGTGGCCGTTTTTGTTCGGCTCAAGGCTGGTCCGTAGGTCTCGGTTCGAGCTGCCTGTCTCAGCCTCGCCCAACCTACTGCGCCGCGGACGGGGTGGAAAAGAGGGGCAAGGAGCCTGGGCGCGTGAGCTGCTTCCCCCTCCCATAGTCCCCCCCCGAGCCCAAGACTGCCAACTGAGGAGGGGGCAGCCCAATCATTCCCCATTACGACTGTTTCCCAAAAGCTTTTCGGCCTGCAGAGGCACCCGAGACGGCCCAAGATCCCCCAAAGGGCCAGACTTTAGCGTTCTCGCCTTTTCGGTCAAGAGGGCCCAAGAGGCCCCCCCCCAGAGGCCGAAGATGGCACCAACAAAAATGGCAACGATTGGACATGGTTTTCGTCGAAACCACGCCCCGAAAAAAAACGAACTGACTGCAAACGCTGCGCGCTCATTCGCCAAGGAGGTGCCCGCCGTGACTCCTGCTCTGCGGGAGTCGCTCGAGGGGTCGGCGGATGTGGCGCGAGCCTTTTGAACTCACCCCTTTGCGCGCAGAACAGCCAACGGAAAACCTGCTTCGGGGTTGGACAGACCCCCCTTTAGTAGAGCGTGGTTTAGTGAAAACGACCTGAGGCCCAAACCTGGCGGGCGCAAGCCTGGAAAATAACGGCCACGGTGCCCTCTCGAGAACCGAAACCGGACAATTCACTAATCGACGTGTCACTGTTGGGGGTTTTGTCCACCTCCGACTGTTCCTGAGATGCATAAAGACGCACCAGCCTTCTGGACGCAGGTGATTTTTTAAAGAGATGCCTATTCCAACCCGCCGCCATCCCCTTCCTTCCTGCCTTTTTTCGCGGGAGG